TCTCTCAGTTTTATATGATACATGTCGCATATGAAAATATAAAGGAATATATACATATATATATATATATTGTATATGACTATAGAAAACTATTTAAATAAAAATCAATTAATACCATAATATTATAAATATTTACAATTAAATTTAAACATAAAAACTCAAACAGCACAACTCGAAAAAACTTCAAATAAAATTCAAGTTGTAAAATATTACTTATCAACTCAACTAACTTAAAATTTAATAATTAAGTTATAAAATGAAAGTTCAAATATTAATTAATTAAAAAAAATACTTTAGACGCCAAATGAGGAAAACTTTCAAATGCATATTTAAACCTTTAAAAACAGTGCTTTCAAGTCCCAGAAAGAAGAGGGCATTAGAAATCAATCTCTATCTATGAATTAACAAACAAATTCACAAGATACTCAAGTTACAAACTGCAACGGCAGCAAATACTCGATTCTGCAGCAACTTAAACACCGGTTTTTCCCTCAAAACTACTTATACAGTACTCCCACCCTTGTCTCGTGCTTTCGACTCGACTTGACTCCAACGTCTGATTTCTTCTTCGCCTGCCTTGCATTCCGACATGCTAAAGCCTTTTTAACTGTGATAAGTAACCCACAATCCGGCTAAAAGACATGTAAACAAAGGACCTACTCTTGAGTGACGATCCCAATAGGCGGAAACTAACCATTATTAACTAATAGTGGTTCAAGCAACGATAATCTAAACTTCGTTACATAAAATAAACCAAAACAGGAGAGGGAATGGAAGCTACCTTAAACTTAGATGCTATCAGTCATCTCAAATGATCTTGTTTCGGGCTTCTTCAAGTTTCTTCAGTATCTCCCCAGGAGTACGATCCAACTCGTCGGCAATTTTTCTCTGCAGATCCATAGGTAGGGTAGGAAACTGCTCGCACAAATCTCCATCAATCACATCCTGCAAGATCAATTCAAGGTTTTAAAACCTGAAGTAATATGACAAAATTAGGGCTATAGCCCTCAAGTTCAGTCAATTCTTCATAGACAACGGTGAGTATAATTTCATAAAGAAATGATTCAATTAAAATGCACAAGGAAGCAGGAGATTCACCTTGACAGGGAAATAAGCAGATCTATAACCCATATGATCCCGTCCGCACAAAGGGGGGTGTTCTTGTCTCATATGCATCTCTAGGTGAGAAAAAAAGTCAACATCATCACGGGAAGTGAAGGGGAGCAATGCCCCCAAGCTCCCCATTACTGTCCCATAAAGAACACACTCTCCGCCACCTGGTATAAGAGACGCCTTCTGCAAGCTAGTTACCACATCTCCGACATGGAACTGAACTATCTCTTCTACCTTGTTAGGAGCTCCATTGAGCCTCCCTTGTTCCCATTTTATCTTTCCACCAGTTGGATCTTCCTCTATTTCATCAGATACATCTTGGGGTAGCCGTACAAAATAGACATTCCCAAACTTGTCTGCACCAGCCATGGTGTCAAAATCTATATGGAACGACGCAGTAAGCCATCTTGGAACAACATCATCGGCAAATATATACAGCTGATTTTCATCTCTCCTATACTTGCAAAAATGGAAAGACTGCAATGGACAATATTTATCATCGGTCTGAGAAAAATTGACAAAGAAAGCAAAACAGTAGAATGCAAAAAATCAAAGAGGACTGTAGTTTAAGAACCAAGAGAGCTCTAAAAAGACCTTGCAAATCTTTCTTACTTGCAGTCAAAGCCTATAAATTAAATTGGTTGATCAATTTTACCAAATCCACATACAAGTCAAGCACCAAAAGGGAAGACATGCATAAATGTAAGAAAAGTAAAATTCTCAAAGAAAAGATAAAAGATTTGAGAATCCAGAAAAACTCAAAAACCATACCTCTTGGATATCCCCAACATATATTCTATCACGGTAAGTTTGGATAGAGACAATAGTGTTGGGGAAAAGCTTATTCTCACATTTCCTAAGCAGTCTCTTTTTCCCCAAATCATATAATCGGAGTACAGATCCTATCCCAGCAAGTAATCTTCCCTGAAACTGGCATAAAGCAAGAGGAACACCTTCCACTTGTGTCTTGTGCAGAAGTTCCAGTGATCGGCCATCTTCTATAAACCTATAAATATGGATGAATCCCGCAACCAAGCTTCTTTTGGGCCAAAACTGTAGACCCTTGGCTGTGCCAACAGCCAGGAGAGTTCCGTACTCTTTATCATGGAAATTCACAGTACACACACTGAAAGCAGCTTCGTTGTCCTGGAGCTCCAAAAGGCAAGTTGTAGCAGCTGTCCTTGGATCAAGAACCCTAATGCAAGAAACCCACTTGTTTGACTCTGCCTTTGGATAACCATACTGCTCATCAGAGAGGGGATCCTCTTTGTCCTCATCATCCCCGCCATTTTCCATTTGGTTCATATTACCGTTGCCATTTTCTCCCATTCCAGCAGCCTCAAAGAATTCCTTTCTTGCAGCTTCACGCTCTTCTGCAGTATATGATCCTTGGTCACTCTCAATAATTACCAACAATTTCCGCTTTGGTTGCAAAACAAACCTCCTAGGAGTATACCTCAAAGGAATAGCAGTCTCATTGAAGGTTTCTCCAAGACGCTCAATGGTGAAAACTCTCAATGCATCCCCAGCCACAGCAACAACACCTTCAGCACACTGATCAGACGAAAATGAGGCCGCAAATTCAAGTGTCTCATAAGAAAGAGGTGTTAACAGAAAATGTCCTTGGTGAATATAACCAAGCCATGGTCGACTAGACAAGCAAAGCATTGCAGGTCGTCCTCTTACTTTAACAGAGAACAACTTTGGGGCTCTCAGCCCTAAGAATCGTGAACGGGAATCAGAAAGTTGCCCGGTAACCATATCCACTACTGTCCGAAACAGAACTCCATTCTGCAGACCAGCATTAAGGAAAAGATTGGCAGGATGATCAGCACCATCCTCCCCACCAATTGATGCCTTAACTTCAAGGAAAAGAAGAGACTCGGGAGGTGAAGATACACTCTGAACACTCAGAACCTGCATACAATCATCAGGATCCAAAGATAATATACGGATTGTATTATCATATGAACCAACAGCAAGAAAGCGGGACCTCTGTCTTCCTTCAGGAACAGGGGCAATGTCCAGACATGCCACATCTCCAGACATTTCATGCTTCTCCACTTCCATCAATTGGCCAGTCATATCCACCTCAAAGTATATGAGCTCACCTCCACTCAGTGCAATAACCACTTGAAGCCCATTTGAGCCAACTTTAACAATTGTCCTTTTCCCAGGTGTTCTCCACTCATTAATACGTCCATCTTCCCTTATATGCCTAATACCATTTGGGTGAATTTGCATAAGTGAATCATCACCAATCAATGAAACAGCAAGAGAGGGAGTAGTATCGAGAAAACCACTATCACTAACTTCTTCAACTGTTTCACCAATGGAAAGAACAAGAGTTGCATTGGCAAATGACACGACAATGTATGCATCGAAAGCATCAGTAACATTTTTCTTTACCGTCCACACAGCACTTGGGACACCAGGAAGCTGTGAGACAGCCATCTCACTGATGGCCAAACCAGGCCTTAGTATCCTCAATGATGAACGAGGACCACGTCCACAAAGTGAATATATCTGCGGTGTTTCCTCCTCAAAGAGATTAGCAATTTTCATATCCATTATTGGCATCAGACTCTCAGCTTGGTCAATCCTAACTAGATTCTTAAGCCCTCTTGGCTGGAAAAACACTGGCTGGAAACCTTCTTCTGTTTCCATCAATGTAGATGATGACGATTCAACATCAGGGTCATCTCCAATAGCCTGAAACTGATACAAAGCGTGATTCCCAAACTCCGAAGCTGCAAAAAGAAAACCAGTTTTCAACACACACATCGAAGCCGTAACCGGAATTGTATCAAAATACTTTATTTTCAATTCCGTAACTCCATCATTTCCATGTTCCAACGTAACCTTAAAAATATCCCCATATTCTGTCTGCAAAAGAAAGAAGAACATCGACTTTTGCTTATGTGTAGCTGCTGACACAATCAAAACACCACGTTCTTCTGGCAAATCAGCCCGTCTAGGGATCACCGCTCTAATGTCTGGATGCCCTTGATTCTTGTAAATAACAAAATTCTCAGCACAAACTAAAACCCCACTCGGCCCATCACCACCACCAGGCACCGTGACCAACATGTTCGCCCCATTATCAACCTGTTCCGACCACTTCCTCGACACATGGTTAAGCCCTAAATCAAGTTCATAAAAAGTCAAATGCTTCTGTGCCTCACCAGCAGCCACTCCCGTAGAATCCTGATCTGCCTCTGAGTAATCCAACTCAATTGCAGCGAAAATAGGGTTATCGAATCCACAATCAACCCCACAGATCGAGTAAACTATCGTATGCGACTTATGAGCTTCTAAAGGTGAAGAAATGGTTAACCTAGCAGCAGTATCTCTATTCAAAACATAAACTAGCTTCTGCTTCTCACAAGCACCAATCATTACAGCTCTTCCTTTCGGGTCAATAGCTAAGTATTGACCCGGGACAATCCGCCGACACCCAGATTTCCCAAAAGTTTCTTGGTGAACTTTATCAAAGACATTCTTCTCTTTATTGTATTCAAGGATAACAATCCGACCTGAATCGGACCCTACTACAATGTAGTCCTTTTGAGCTCCGGTTAGCCGGAACTGAGCTAGAGAACGTATGCAGCCGAAAATTTCGACAGAGTGAAGTGTTTGGAGCTTACCGAGTTCGTCGGGGCGGAGAAGTGAAAGGATCTTACCACGGGCGACAACAATTTCTTGGATTTTTCCGCCGGAGAAGTTCCCATTTATGGCGGAAACGATGCCGGTGGCCTGTTGAAGAGTTAAATTGTAGAGATACATGGGTAGTTAGGGTTTTTGAGACTTAGAAAGGGGGTTTTGGGTTGCTGTTTTAAAAGAGCTTCATCCGAAGCTCGTGAGAGTGAGTGAAAGTAAACTGATAAATGGAAATAATTGGGAATTTTCTTGCGGTAAAAGTTCAAACAGGAATCGAAAACCCTAGAAGGCAAAATCGAAAGAGATGGTCAAATTCATTTGAAGTTTATCCCTACTATTTATTATACAATCTAAAATGGTCTAATTCGATTTTTATTCCCTCTATTATGATAAAATTCTAGATTTAATCCCCCAGTTTATTTTAGTTTAATTTAAATTTATTATGTGATTGTAGTATGAACCAAGTAACTTTAATAGTTAAATGAATGATTGTTATCTCTAGAGATCTCAAGTTAGGCTCGATGTCTGTAAAGATGTTCGAACGTTCATTGTCAAATAATTAAGAATTTTTCGAACAAATACTATCTTATATTACCTCAAACTAATAAAAGACAAAAAATAAATAAAAGACAACCCCCAATTCAATTTGCTTCATTCACGAGGTTGGAATTTAAATCCTGATATTATTTAAGAAATTTAGTGATTCATTTGGTCAAAATAAAAAAATTAAGTTTCTTTATATAAAATTTTGAAAAGAAAATATATTTTTTAAAATTCATTTTAGTTAACTATCGTCGATAGAGAGGTAAAAGAATTTTGTGTAATCTATTTATTTGATCATCAAATTATATTTTAGTAAATTCGTTATGATTTTTTTTTAGTCATCAGTCATTAAATTTCGTTAAAAATTGATAACATAATTATAACATAATCAAATATAATAACAATTTTAATATTTGAAATTTATATATTTTATTAATTTAATTTTAACTCGAAAAATCTATTAATTTAAATATATATATATTTAACCCAATCTCCTATGGCACCTTATTGTTAACCACTCTCAAAGTAAACCAAAACAAAAGCAATTCCAACCTCTCCTCATAGTTTTATAAATGAAACCAATATTTGGTCACTTTAAGTGCAAAAAGTGCCCATTCATCCATCATTCAATGGCCAATCTTCCATGCTTGTTAAACTTAATATTCTTCATCACCATCATAAAAAACTCATCCTCGGCTCGAAATCTCGAAAACCCATTGTCGTATCATCATCACCATCACCATAAGCATCACAAGATCTCATTTTCCATGCCAGATTTGCTCAACATTTCTCAATCTCCAACTCCACAACTCACAAGCCAATTCCCATTTTCAAAGCCCGTAGGCCTTTTCCCACCAAATAAAGGCATCCCGATCCCGAACCTAACCCAAAAGTTTCGTCAACTCGAACGCTCGATGTTCCGAACCTCGGGTTGTATTTCCCGACAAGGGCTACTCTTCAAGAGTTGGAATTTGGTGCGGTGGTGACCATTGATGCGACCTTATTCGATGGTGGTTCGGTTGATGATTCACCACTTGGAAAAGCACAAGGGGTGTATGTTGCAAGTTCAGAAGGTGATGCTGGTCACATGATGGCGATGACTACGGTTTTCGCCGATGGCGGGTTTAAAAACGGGTTAAGGTTTTTCGGGTTGCACCGGAGAGATGCGTCGGAGTCTCATATTGCTCTCATTGGTGGCACCGGGAAATATACCGGTGCAAATGGTTATGCAACAGTTAAAGTTGTGAAACAAGGAGTTAACAAGCTTCTTTTGTTCAATGTTTATCTCAGTTAATAGCTAAGAAGTAATAAAAAAAATCATTGTAATCTTGGTGAACTATTTATTATTATAATAAAATTATAGAATTTGAAATTTAATTTAATTGATACAATTAGTTACTTTTTAGATGTAATAAGTTTGAATCCTAACATTTACGATGTACTTATAAATTGTACCATTGAAATAGAAATTCAAGAACTTATTTGCATGCATTTTCTATATAACTAAGATCTCAAAGGAATTTTTTTTATCGTTTTATTATCTTAGAATTCTATAATTTTTAAGATTAAAAGAATAATTTTATTAAATTAAGAGAGATAAAATTAGGTGTAAACTTGAGACAGAGTGAATGAATCAATTTTTTCGATTTTCTCGATCCCGACTTGAATATGAATTCTCTCATTTAATCTCGACCCGTCACTATAGTTTAATTGATCTCGAACAAGTCGGAATCGAAATCTCTAGTCAATCACCTGCCAATCTCCCCTGCTTTAATGAATTTGAGTTATTTAATGTTAGGGAAACCTAAGTCGCTAATATTTGAGGGTGAATGTCGGACGAAAGTATACATAATTCAATTTCATTTTACATATATATATATATTTAAAAGTTTATATCCCGTACTTATATCTAAATGTATATTTCAACTATAAGAAAATCAAGTGAATAAAAGAATTAAAAAAATACAAACATTATAAGTTGTGATGAAATATATTCATATCGAACGCATATCAAAATTTAAATAAATAAAATTAAATTAACAACATTTCCACGTTATTTTATTATCATTCCAACTCCATACAAGTGATATAACCACTCTCTATGAGACAATATATTGTTGTTATTATCATACCATTAGAATTAGGTTTTTCCAACAAAAGCACATCTCAAAAGAAAAGGATTTTAACTACTTCATATCATCAAATCCACTTTCTCATATATATATATATATATACACACATGGTCGAATTTGATCGAATGTAAACTTTTATTTTAAAAATCAAATTGAATGAATTTTTTAAAAAATCAAGTCAGATCGAATAATGAATAAAGTAATATTATATTCAAATCAAATTCAAATGGACTCAAATCATCCATGTTTATATATTTTAAATTAAAATTTCCAACAAAAGCACATCTAAAAAGAAAAGGGTTTGAACTACTTCATATCATCAAATCCACTTTCTCATATATATCTATATGTGTATGTATGTATGTATAATGTATGTATGTATGTGTGTATATACCCTACAAACTATATATAGGCAAGTGAAGATCTCTCTTTCCATCCATCAATTAGTCTTCTTAGCTAAAACAATCTTAAAAATGGCTAAAATTCCTATGCTCACCTGCAAAGCTTTCAAGGTCTTCATCTATCTACTATTGCTAGCTATCACTTTCACTTGTGCCCATTCAGCAAGAGTCCTTGATGAGGTGGAAGCACAACCGCAAGTCGTTGACGACATACCTCAAACGGCTGGTCTAGCGGTCCCTGCCGCCACCCCAAGCGGTCCGGAAGACGAAGTTGCTGATCCACCGCTCCCCGAAGCTCCTGCTGCAGTGGCAGCCCCTGATGATGATGATGATGAAGCACCAGTAGCTGCTACTCCTGCAGCACTGATAGCCGGTCACGGAGCGGCGGCGGCTGCGACAAGTGCCACGACTGGAAACCCCGTGACACATGAGCCTTCATTGTCATTTTTCATGCATGACATCCTAGGTGGATCGCACCCGTCGGCTAGGGTGGTGACCGGTGTGATTGCGAACTCGGAGATCAATGGAATACCGTTCTCCAAAACCAACAACGACCTTTTTCCGGTACAAGGCGCCGCCCCACTTCTGACTGGCGGGAACATTAACGACATAAACAACTTCAACAACCTTATTAACCCCAACAACGTGCCTTTCCTATCAGGCCTAACCGGTGCACAAACCAACGCTGTCCTACAAAACACCGGCAACAACGACAATGTTCTCAACTCCGGCAACCAACCTTTCGTCACCGCTGGACAGCTCCCACCCGGCACTCTTCTGAGGCTCTTGTTCGGTACCATAACCGTCATCGACGATGAACTAACAGAAGCACACGAGTTAGGGTCAGCTGTGCTAGGCAGGGCACAAGGGTTCTATTTGGCTAGCTCATTGGATGGTAACAGCCAAACCATTGCCCTGACAGTTCTGTTGCATGGAGGTGAACACGGTCACACCGAAATCGAGGATACCATTAGTTTCTTTGGAGTACATCGGACAGTGTCGCCGGAATCGCAGATCGCAGTGGTTGGTGGAACCGGGAAGTACGAGCACGCAAAAGGGTACGCCACGGTGGAGACACTTCTTCACCAGGAGGATCAACACATAACGGATGGTGTGGATACAATCCTGCATTTCAATGTTTACCTGACGATCACCGAGTGATGTCGGCGTTGCAGCTGGTCACCGGTGGTTCATGCGTGTTTCAAGCATTTGGTACTGAAAATTTAATGGAAATGTCCAAGGGTTATATAAATGGTAAAATTATGTTCTTTTAATATCCGTATAGTATGAACCTATTGAACGCATTATTGATAAAAGTATTGTTGCTTTATTTAGAAAATTAAGTTTGAATAGTTGAGATTTATTAAATATATAAAGATAAATTCTAAATAAATATTATCTTATAATCATCAAATTAATTAAAAAATATCTGTATAATATATTCATTTTGGAGATTCATTAACAAAATTTCTTTGCCCTCAATTGGTGTTCCACCAATCTTGAATTAGCAAGTGGATTATATAATTTAATAAATTTTATTTAGTTTGATTAAACTTTCTTTTTTATTTAGTCCCATCAAGGTCTTAGTAATTAAAGGGTAGTTTATTCCCCCTTAGAAATATTGAGTTCGAGAACTATATTTGCAGGATATGTCTTTTGATTTCAATGAATTGGTATTCTTCTTACTAAGCATCAAATCTTTAAATCTTTTATGTCATCATCGAATCAATTACTATCAATCACCTCTTCTATCACCGGACTCCTATTGATTGTTCATCCCCTCTGTCATCCCACATCATGATCTAAAACAAAATAACTATAGTACTTAATTGCTAATATCGTCATATGAGATCATTATTTTCCATCAAATCATCATTTGTTTATCATCGTCGATGAAATTACACCGTCGTCCAAACTAAAATTGAGTCACATGAACCTCCACTTGTCACATGATCTTCTATCATTTAAATGGATTTGAGGATATAGGGATCTAGAGTTTTTTTCTTGAGATATTATAAAATTTAGAGTTTTTTTAGAAATTTTAAAATTTAGTTTTTTAAAATAATATTAATAAAAAATTGATGTCACATGTAAAGCAATCATTAGTTTATGGATTTTTATAATGTTGATTAACAAGATGACCTTAAAATGATAACAAATAAAACTTCAGATATAAATAGTAACAGAATAAACATTAAATACTTATTTTAATTAAAAAAATCTTTAAACATCTAAAATAAACAAAAAAATTATTATCTAAATACTTATTTTAGATTCTTATTTACATTTTTTTAGAAGAAAAGAACATTAGTTTAAGGTTTATACTTTTTCATTGTTGAAATTTTTAATGTATATAGGGGACATATATATATAATTATTTGTTCTTTAATAATAAAAATGACAGATGTTGATCAAACGGACGAGAATCAACAGAAACTAAAACAATGGTGAAAATACATACACTCAGCAGAAAAGGGGCATTCCGAGAATTGAACTCGGGACCTCTCGCACCCTAAGTGAGAATCATACAACTAGACCAAATGCCCTTGTTGAAAGGTGATTTTGTAATTTTATTATATCTATTTACTAATTACATCTAAATGTTAGACTCAAGAACACTGAAGAAATGAATTCAGACCAACTTTTTTTTTCCTGAAGCTTCTATATATTTATATTTTCAAACGCATTTGTTCATTTTTTAATATAAGACAAGCAAATTGTAGATTTTTCCATTGATTTTCATATTCATAATAGTACAGCTTTCAAAATATTTAAATCACGCCAAATTACAGGCACCTTCACTTAAAAATCACACTAAATCATAGGTATCTTCATCTAATAGGTAACATAAACAGTGAACTCTAGTACGGTCTCAAAGCCGTCAGTCTCCGTCTGATTATTACTCGCCGGTAATGTCTTCACTATGGCAAAACCTCTAGCGTTGACATATTTGCCAGTGCCGCCCATGATAGACAAATGCGACTCCGATACTCCGATCCGATGAACCCCGAAGAAGCTAAGCATGTCAGCGTAGTGTCCGCTCTGGAACATGGCGGTAAACGCCATCGTTTGACTGCTTCCATCCACTGAACTAGCTACATAGAACCCTTGTGCCTTGCCAAGAAACCCTGAGCCTAGCTCATGTCCAGTTGTGAGTTCATCATCAATGACAGTCATGGTCCCGAACATGAGCTTTTGGAGTGCAGAACCTGCAGGGAGTTGGCCACCCACTAAGGCCTGGAATCCCCCGTTGTTGTTGTTGTTGCCGGCGTTCTGCAGCATCGCTTGAGTGTTGCCACCGAGGCCGGAAAGCAATGGAACGTTATTGTTGTTTAGAAGACCGTTATTGCCACTGTTTTCGTTTATTCCATTGTTCACTGGGAGGTTTGCACCATTTGGTTTGGCAAATGGAAGTTGACCATTGAGTGCCGGGTTGCTGATCGCTCCGGTGACTGCTAGAGCCGATGGGTTTGATCCGCCGAGGATGTCGTGCATGAAGAAGGTCAGGGTGTGGTCAGGGTCAAGCACAGGGTTGACAACATTGGATCCTGTGGGATTCGGACCCGTTTTTGCACCCACACCAGGGTTGGCAACATTAGCTCTTGTGGGAATGGGACCTGTGGTGGCACCCACACCAGGGTTGGCAACAACTGCAGCTCCTGATGGATGGGAACCAGTGGTTGCAGCTACACTAGGATTAGGCTGTGTGCCCGCTGGGGTAGTGCACAAAGGTGGCACCACGACCGGATTCGACGATGGATCCGAGGGTTGCTCATCAAGCATTCTTGCTGAAGTGGAGAATGCAATTGTGAAGGAAAGAAGTATAGAAATGAGTTTGTAGGTTTCCATAGCTACAGAGTTCAGGAAGATTTGCTTAGTACTTTTCTATTTCTGAATGGATTGAAAGATATGCAAGTATATATATATATGTGTGTGTGTGTGTGTGTGTGTGTTTATATAGAAAGTGGAGTTGTTGAAGTCTTTCTATAATCTCAACCAAAACATTAGATACAGAAAGTGGAGTAGTCCATATGGATCAGGTCAGATGGAGTTGATTAGTTAGCTAAAAGCTGTTAACCGTATTCATTTATATGTATCAAAATTGCAGAATATAATTCTTTTTCTTGAAGAGTTCTTCACAGTCATCAATGGCAGTCCACAAATATTTACAGCAAATTGTTAAAAAGGAACACAATCATCTGGAAAAAAGAGGAAGAATATACATAGAATCTGTTTTCTTTTCGCATTTTTTTTCTTTGTGAAACAAACAATACAATAACATATGCATGCATACATTTTCAGTTTTCACACCAATGCAAAGAATGAACCAATTCACTAATATGAATTACATAGACCAAAAATTTTCTTACATCTCTCTCACTTTCTCATTGACATGAAAATGCAACATTCGAATGCGAAAAAAGAAGAAAAAAAAACTCGCTTCTGGTCTTGATGATGCATGTAAAAATGTGTCAAAACCATCTTTTGAAAAAACCAAATCTATAGGGCTAACAAAGTAACAATCTCTGCTGCTAGTTCATCAATCAATGAATTCTCTATTTCTCTACCCATTGCTTCGATATCATATCCTAGGGATAACCATCCATCGTCTTTTCTGAAAACTTTCTCTGATGAGTCCTTTTCTTCATCTTTGGCCTCATTTTCTTGGCTAACCAATAACTTGTAAAGCTCTTCCACAATTTCTCTCGAGTTCTGCGAATAACTGAGCCTTCTTGCAACAGGTTTTTCCCACATGAGGACTCCTAAGCATGGCTGCAGAATTTCCATTAGACCTGAATTTATGCGGTCGAAAAATAGCCTCCTATCTGGCCTCTTCCAAGATATCTGTTCACCGTACTTCTTCTCTAGTGTATCGAAAACCGACAGGCTTATCGGAGTTTCTAGGGATTGACATCTGTTAAAGAGTATATCCAGGTTTCTATTATGAAAACCCGCCTCGGTTAGGACATCGACAAAATAGGATAAATCCCTACTCTCTGCAACTCCAAACTTAGTTGAATATTCATTTCCTTCATCCTTCAAAGGCTCAATTACTGCATCATTTTCATCGTCACTTGAGACAATCATTCCCGGTCCTTCAGAGTATTCTTCAATTGACTCCGATTTTATAAATTCAAGTTGCCGCTTCACATCTGTTAGCAAACAAGAACAAAAAAGTTAAAATAGATAAAATGTGGGGCAAAGAATCAAGAGGTCAAGTAATCCTTCTGTTTTACTAACCATTTAAGCTATCGGTGACACTCAAAAAGCACTTATAGCTCAATGAATTCCCTTCTAAGAATGGTGTTTCCAAAACTGAAACCGGACTGGGCTGATTAGCAGTCTCCAAGGTTGCTAGAAAGTCAGGGTCTGTGCCGCACTCTTCAGATATTTTCATTGATATATCTTCCTGCAAATATTACAGTGAAATCCATGTCTTAGAGGCAATGAAAGGCTCAAAATCCAAGCTGAAAAATTAGAATAACAAACACATCCAAAAAAAGTTAACTAAAAGTTTGATGTCTCGATCACAAGATACAGTGCACAGGTAATGCTTACATCAACTGTATTTGCACATCCACATTTTGACTGTGATAAAGTAAATTACTAGATTATATACTAAATTTAGTAATGCAGATTGATTACTATACCCAAAACGAATACTAGTATTTGTTAATCCTATCAAACTAATTGGAAAATTAAAACAACATCGAACCTGTTGACTCCAAGCATCAGAGATACAAAAAGAAGAATTATGGTCTTTCTCCAAAATAGTGCAGTCTGTCGATACAAACTGGTGCTGGTTATGACTTCCGGTAGACTTGGCAGCAGCATTCGGAGTTTCTACAGAAACCATCATATCAGAGACTATGCTTTGAGATGAAGCTGAGTACATCTCAGGTACCATACAATCCTCAGCAGACATCTTTCTATCCTTGAAGTCATTCCATTGATCAACTGGATTGATTTCATATTCAGAAAACGTAGAATTCTCTTCTAGCAAGTGGTTCTTTTCTGATTCTAGGTCTGGACTAGATTGAGACTGCTTGATTTCATTTTTAGAAACTGTAGAATTCTCTCCTAGCAAGTGGTTCTTTTCTGATTCTAGGTTTGGACTAGATCGAAACTGCTTGCAGTTGGATCGCAAGTTTCTTTGTTTCGAACAATCTTTCCCACTGGAAACCTGCTTAAATGACTTCCTTATAGACCAAGGAAACACTGACCTAGTAGTCAAATACGAATCAACATGAAAAGCTTTGGGAGTAGTCTTGGTTAGAGCACTTCCGACAGATGTAGAATATGATTGTGATTTCAAGTCTCCAATAGCATTGTTTTTCCAGCCATCTTTACTGCTAATGCCAAAGGGACCACGAAAGTTTGCACGTTTAGCATGATCCGGCAATGCAAGCATTTCACCAAGTGATCTGCTTCTGCCCCTACCCCCAAAAGTAAGTCTGATCTCCCGAAAGTCTTCAGTCACCCTCCATCTTTCAAAGATATGCTGCTTCACTTCCTGAGCCACATGTGATCCGCCTAAGTCATAACATGAGGGCTTGTCCCAGTTGTTCACATCAGAGTTATTTTGGGAAGAAACTATCAGGAACTCTGGCTCTTTTGTAAGACTTTGAGCACCACTGAATCCTAACCTTGGCGGCTCAAAAGAAGTTTCAGAGGAAGGGATAGATCTACGAGTGGAGGATTTTACACCATCGAAAAAGGTGTCCTTAACTTGAGCATGCGAATTTCTTTTTCCGTTACCAAGGAACCCTTGGTGTTTCTTATCGGTTTCAGCCTCTCCAGGCTTTGGTTTCAAAATGACAATTTTTCTAGAGGAAGGGCATCTTTCATTGTTTGAATCCAAATGAAATCTAGGAACCATAGAAGTACTATCATATCTGTATTCCCTTCGAGAATCTTTTACGAAACCATTCTCGAGTTTCTGAAGCACCTTAGGATTTTCTTGATCATAGAAATGCTTGGTGATCAGATAATCTGGTTGCCCGAGACCATTTTCAGAACAACCCTGTCTAGAATACACAAATCCTGATCCTTTGATATGATTTCGTTCTGGAGACCATCTTAAGTCTACTCTTCCCTTTTCTATCTCTATTGATTCTATTACTTCAAACGCATCCTTGAACCCCTTTGTCTCTTCAACACTGAACCGAAACGAACTGCATTCACCAAAGGAGCGCTTCTCCCAAGCGCCTATCGAAGCAGCTTTTCGCAGATAATTCTCCGAGAGCACTCTTTGAAGCTTTCTCTGCTTATTGGCAGGTTTCTGAGATTGGAGTTCATCAAGTCCCATTAATTTTGCAATCACACTCGGTGTAGCCGGTTTAGATTCTGTTTTTCTCGACATCTCGTCAACACAAGCAATTACTCCCTTAGTTTAATTGCATTCTCAAAATGCCAAAGTGCATCTGCAATCTGATACAAAGAAAACAAAAAGAGTTTCATAGAAATTCATGAAATTTACCACTAAAACAAACTAATCGAAACAACAATCAATTAGAAACATTCTTTTTCCTCCAATTCAAATAAACTAATTTTTTCAAGAATTTAATAAGAAAAAGACAAAAGATTAAAGCAGCAAAGAATTCAATTAAAGCAGTCATATGAGCATCTGATAAAGCTAACACGCAAAATATATATAGAAAACTCATAAATGGAAACAAAGTAGAACTAAGAGCAATAACTATATAAGAAACAAAATCATTGAAAAAATAACCTTTCTTTGTCAAAGTAATAATTAGAACATAGCATGTTAAAAAAGTCCAACCCCATCATTTAGAAAAGAGATTGTCTTTTATTGATTAATCCGAATCAAATACTATCATTCTAATAGAGTTTTCTGCCTTCACAAATGCAATATTCAAGCTTTGTTCTTGCTTAAAAGACCTAATTACTCAACAATTTTAATCAAATTTTACGAAATAACAAGAAAGGAAACTTCCATAAAAATAAAAGCAATTTAATCCTGGTGTCAAGTAACAAGAACCCAACTTCAACAAAGCAAACAGCTAGAGTTTACCAAAAAGAAAGAAATAAAAACCCAGAAAATGAAAACCAAGAAAGAGAAGTCCCAGACAAAGAAGAGGAAGAAAATAGGAAGAAAGATCTGACCTTTACTTTTCTCTGAAAGAGGTTCTCTGAGTCTGACTTTAGGGTTTAGATGCTCAAGTCCATCAGAATCATTTTCATCTCACACTGATTGATAATTACAATTTTAAAAGAATAAAGGTTAAAACAAAGGATCAAATGATTTTTGTCTTGCTTATAATTCACGAAACAAAAAGACAAGCGGACATGTAGAACAAGTTGGTAGGTCAAACACCCTTCTTTTAATAATACAAAAAAAATCAAATTTTACACGCAAATATTTCTTAAAAAGAAGAAACAAATTTCTGGGAAATGGGTTTTTAGAGATGTAATCTAAGATGGAAAGAGATGAAGAAATGGAGGATTAGATTTTGAAGAAAAGGCAATGAATGCTGGAGTGGTATTTGTATTTTGTAGGGACATATATTTCGCGTTCTTGTTGTCTTTTCGTTGCTACCCGCGAATATGAACTGTCTTTTCTCTGCGGGTTTCCCGCCACCAAAAGAAATGGTCTTTTTTTTTAGTTTTTATTAATAAAAAACCATAATTTTATTTTCTTTTGTATCTATATTTTTTTATTTAAATAAATTATTATTTTTGTATAAATCAATTTTTTAAATAATAATATGTTATTATTAATATTGTTTTTGGCCTGAATTTTTTTATTTGAGCTATGTTTCTATAGTTTTAGTAACACAATAATACTAAATAAAATATACAAATAATCTCTTGATTATAAGATATTATTTTATTGAGTCTTTCGACTATTAAAATTATATAATGAAATTTATTTTTTTAAGTGCTTCAACAATTAAAAGTTACAAAATGATCAACCGAGATATGATAAAATTTAATCTCATAATCTCAAACGACTATTATATCTTAATCAATATGTTAACGTCAAACTCATACGACAGTTAAATTTTTTAAGAAAAATGACGAATTTTGAACATAATGACGAGTTTGTAAATTTTTCTTGGAATCGATTTGACTTGTTAAAGGTGATTTAAAATAAAATTTAATCTTCGTGTTATGAATAAGCTAAATCAAATAATCACTTTTGTAATAGGCTTGTATAATATTTAATTTAAAAATAGAGTAGATAAATAATTATCAGTTATAAGGTGATCCTCTGTTTAGTTTATCGTCTATTAAAAGTTATAAAATGATCTTTAGATTATAGAATATTATTTTTTCGAATCTCTCAACTATTAAAAGTAATAAAATGGTCATCTGATTATTCATATGCTCTAAATCCATCATTTTCTAAAAAATTGGTAGTCATTTGAGTCAAACGTTAACTTGTTGACTAAGATATAATAAAATCTTCTAAGATATATTTTGTGGATCAACTCTTCGTTTACATTATATCGTTAAGTTAATGCTTAAAATATTATGTTGTCGAGTAGTGCTTGAAAGTAACGACGGTGCTAGTAGACATCATTAAAATATAATTTTATCATATCTTAATCAACATATTAACATTCAACTTAAACAACCATCACCTTCTTAACAAAAAAAATTGACGAGCTTAATTAGAACATAAGAATAAACGGATAAATATATAACTTTTAATAATTGAGCAATTTAACAAAATGATATCTTCATTATAAGGGATTATTTTATTGAGTCCTTCAACTATTAAAAGTTATAAAATGATCTCTTGATTATTCATATATTTCAAACTCGTCTTTTTTCGTTAATAAATTGACGGTCTTCTGAATTAAACGTTAACTTGTTGATTGATATATAATAAAATTATATCTTAATTATATCTACTAGCACCGTCGTTACTTTCAAACATTGGTTGACGACATAATGTTCCAAGCACTGGCTCAACAACATATATAAACAGAGAGTCGATTCACGAAATACAACTCAGACATTTTTGGGATCAGATTTTATCATGTCACAATCAATAAGTTAACGTCTGACTTATATGGCTACTAATTTTTTAATATATCATGACGAATTTGAAATATATGAATAGTCAAATGATCATTTTATAACATTTAATAGTTAGAAGACTTAACAGAGTAGGATTCTATAATTGAGGGTCATGTTATAACTTTTTATAATAAGATTATACAATAAAATAAGGTCCCATAGTCCGACTATTATTTGTGTACTTTACGCTTAAACCTAAAAGAATCTATAAACTTAGAGCTGATGCCTGATAGGACAATAGGAACTTTAAGTAGAAGAAGCTTTTGGAAAGAAACTACCATTTGTTGGGTCTTAATCCAAATGAAAAAATAATGATAATAACAGGGACAATGACCCTTTCCATATATTCAGTAGGTCAAGGTTGCCCAAAACTTTGGGAGTTTGGAATTTATTACATTTTGCCATTTAATTTATTATGAAAACCATATCTGATCCCTACCCTTCCATCCTATTCTCTCTCATCTCACCAATAAAAAAAGGCTTTGGATATCTGCGTGAAGGCCAAAGGTTCAAATCTCGGTCGTGATCGTTGTATCATGGGTATAACGGGTGTTATTGTGGGTGTCACGATCAAATAATAGCCTTTTCAGATGACACTACTACCGTTATATCGTTGGCGCTATCGCGATCACATACCGCCATTTAAATCCCTGGTTAAGGCTGCTGCTGGTGCCCCTGATGTTCTTGGAGATTGTATGCTCTCTTTCTCTATCATTAATCATTGTGTTTGTAAAAAAAAGGCTTTTATTTTTTCATTTTTCGGGTGATTTTGATTAGTTTGATTTTGTATTATGTTTTCAAGGTCCTTTTTGCCAAAGGATTCTTCTTACTTTGGAGGAAAAGAAGGTTCCTTACAAGTTGCACCTTGTCAATCTCAGTGACAAACCCCAATGGTATATTGTTTGGAGTTGTTGCTGTAAATTTGTGATTTTTACTGTAAAATTATGAACTTTGTGATTCATTTTTTCATTTGGTTTGATAGGTTTTAGGAGACAAGTCCGGAAGGAAAGGTACCAGTGAAGTTTGATGACAAATGGATGGCTGATTCTGATGTAATTGTTGGAATTCTTGAAGACAAGTTTCCTGAGCCTTCTCTCAAAACACCACCAGAATCTGCCTCTGTGTATGCAGTTTCTCACCTTATATTCTCTTTAATTTCATCTATGATTATCCCTTTGTGTACTGTGAGCTTTGATTTTTGTCGATGGGAATAAGTTTCGCTCGTCTGCATTGGTGATTCACCCCTTCTAGTTTGGGTGGAAAGTCACGACCGATTTGGAGCTCTCGTCACATTTTGAAGAGCAAATATGCAAATGACGGATCCGAGCAGGCTTTGGTTGATGAACTGAAGGCGTTGGATGAACATCTTAAGGGACGTGTAAGTGATGATAAATTGGACGTTCCTTTAACCGTTGCATCTTTTGTCATGCGAGTCTTCTTGATTTTTCGAGCTATATGATATATGAATCATGGTCCGTTCATTGCCGGCGAAAAAGATTACCGCTGCCGATTTAGCTTTGGGACCAAAGCTATACCATCTTCAGATCGCTCTCGGCCATTTCAAGAAGTGGACTGTACCTGAAAGCTTGACTTCCGTCCACGATTACATGAAGGTATGCAATGCTTCCACTATATGCATAATGATGTATGTTATATTGTACCCTAGAATCCATGTTGTTCCGACTCTTGGATACGTAGAGGACCTAAATCCGACACTCGCACCCAACTCCGGCTAACATAGGTTGCAATGGCATGAGGGCATGATCATACCTCATTGACCTTAAGCAGGGTATGATTTGAGGCTCATCCCATGTAAGAAGAATAATGAAAAATATGCTTGTAAACATGGGTCATCCTCATACATCAGTGATGATAGCTAGACGGCTGTTAAGATTTACACGGACTCGTGTCGGTGTTGTTTAATAAATTTCGAAATTTTCGTATATTTGGGGAATTCTTAGAGGATTATATTCATATGTTCAAATGTGTTGGACATTTGCAGGCTATTTTCTCCCGGGATTCCTTCCTGAAGACGCAGGCCGCGAAGGAACACTTCATATCCAGATGGGCGCCGAAGGTCAATGCATGACCATTAGGTGTTTCAGAACATATCAGCAATGGAGTGTGTTGAGGGTTTGGCAAAGACGAGATAAACACTTAGCTGTTCCAGTCATATAATAAGTAAATTTGGGGTCTAATGCTAAACGGTGTTTCATATTATCCATTGATAAAATTTTAAAGTATATTTTATAAATATATTTTAAAAAAATCAAGTAATTAAAAACAATTTAAAATTCTTGTAATATTTTTAAATACAAAAAATGTTTTCTTACAATAAAGGAGAAAATTAACCAGGGTAAGTTAATCTAGAAATTATTGAATTTTAGTATTTGTATTGATTTCAAGTATAATGCTAAAAATATATTTAATAGTTGATTGAATAGTCATTTTGTTTTTTAAAAGGAATTTTATTCATAAATTTTTATTAGACGAAAGTCAATATTTTTTAATTGATTAACGGTCAATATTTATCACAACGTGATAAGTTCTATATATACAAAATGACAACATGACATATGTTAATAGTACCAGTATTGTGTTACGTCAGTTTGTACAAAATATTTAGAATAGAAATTAGGGGGTGGGTTATCAAAAATTGGGAGGCACACTCGAGCGAGTTCTGCGCAAAGTAAACGCAGCGTCAACGCTGAGCCAGCCTATTACCCCTCCATAAATTCTTGCGCACCTTTTGAGTTAGACGCGGCGAGCAGCTCCCACCTCTCGCTTTGGTTTCCTTACTCATTAGTTTAAGGCAAGTTTCTCTCTCCCCACCCACTCTATATTTATAGCGCCCAACATCCTATGGCTTTGCTATTCCTTCACGATGTTGGATAAAAGCGCGTCAACAAATTTTCCTTCTTTTGTCGAGCAAAACAAGATCAAACAAGTTAAAAAGAGAGAACTTTATGTTTTTGGACTTTGCTTGGGATGCAAGCAAGTTTCAAGACCTTCGGCTCAACAATGTCCCCAATCAAGGGTCATCATGTGCGCCGAATCCAAAGGCTTGTTAGTATTATTACCTGATTCTAGCTTGGAAAATTGGGTTTTCCTTCGTGTGATGGATCTGATGCTTTGGGAGGCTCTGTTATGCTCTGAACATGCTGGAGGCAAACTTGGACTGCATCATGCACTCTCAAGTACCATTCCTTCCCAATCAACTCTAAGACACCGGATTTCGATAAGTTCAAAAGGATCTCTCGGTTTAGGTCGGAGATCGCTATATGTAAAAGTTTGAATACAACTATAAATGAATAAAATTGAACTGAAAATATCATCTCATAATAAATTTTTGACATTTAATCTAGACTAAATAACTAATGAGTCAAATAGCATGGTTATAAAAGATTAGTAAAAATTTGCATTTACTAATGTATTTTTTTGATCAAATGCATTTACTAATATTTACCATAAAGTTAAAGTTGCTTCCATATAGCTCAGTTCTCCAAGCATATACAACATATATTATTTGTTGGCAAGGATGAGAGAAGAAGAAATAAAAAAACCAAACAAACAGGAAACATAACACGACGACATCATCCTAGGGTTATGTGTCTACAAGGCATGTGCCCTGTGCATGCTCAGGTTTGTGACTGAATTCATAATCCAGATGAACAAACGCACGCTCTATCTCGTGCAGTAACTCCAGCTTCTCTTGCAGTGATTCTCCAATGTCATGTGCTTCTTGCAATTCCATGTTTGCCGGGAGAACAATGTCAACCTCCACAAAGTAGTGTGACCCGAAGGTGTACGCTCGCACGGTATCGATATGTCTTATGGCCTTGTGGTGGTTCCAACATAGATATGTCAGTTTCTGAAGATACTCCGGTGCTGCTGATCTTCCCACCAATGAATTCACGTTCTCTAATACTGTCATCGACCATGTCCGGATAGTGTACAGAGCCAGCTGCATTGTTCAAGTTTATCTCAATTGAGTCATAAAAGCATGGTAACGTTTCTTTGGTTTTCTTAATGATTTTCGATATGGTCATCGACCATTGAAAACCCTGCACTGAACTGATCTTATAAGTTATTGGCATTAGCCTGACGTGTTTGTCATTAGCGAGTTCCGGTGACAACCAAAAGTAAAGGCAAGAGATGCGAGATAAGGTTTTACTTACGATGATTGCTCCGACAGGGTCCATCCAATCGTCAATGTAATTAGCGAGTAGCACAGCAACTAGGCCGATGATGTTTGTAATAACATCAAAGAAATGATCCTGGGCATAAGCTTTGACAATTTCATTCGTAAAGGTGCGGCAATAAAACACGAGGAGAAGCTTTACCAGGGTCACTCCAAGCATAATCCCAACCACCCACCTCTCTTGTTCTTTCGTCAAGTTGAATTCATTCTCCTGGGCAAAACCAAGGAAGACGCCATTGTCATATGAAAATACTAAGCAGTCAACCTCAAAAATAGAAAAGATCTACTGAATAGAGAAGAGAACTTCAAAGCATAATCGTAGTTAACTCACATTTGAAACCATGGTTCGTACGGACTCCAAGATTATCTGTAGTCCAAGAGTTGCCATGACAGAGGCAAAAACAAGGATACCCTGCAGAAAATTTACCAGTTTTTAACTTTTCAATGTTATTAGGTTTCAACGGTTCATAACACTAGCTTGTCTTTTTATGTTCTACGTCTGTTTTACCATCCATGTTCGGGATTCGTGACTGTCCCATCCAACAATGGAATCTCGAAGGTTTGAGCGTGAGTTCTTACTTGAGGTGCAATACATCTTACCATTGCATCCAACATTGGGCTTTTACTAATAGAACAAAGAACTCAAAGATTTAAATAACTTATCTGATAGTGTTTCCCGATTCCGTGTGTGTTGAGGTGGGGGTGAGGGATTCTTTATTAAAGAAAAAACCAGTTAGCCAAATAATAACAACCAATGGAAATAAAGCAGTCAGATAAACTTAGCTAGGAAGTGTATGTTACTCAGACTTGAGTGTGAGTTTCGTGCACAGGTAAATGTCTTCATAGGCATGTTCAATTTTTCTTTTTCAAGATCCAATATATTTGGAGGGTTCTAGGTGGGATTATATCCTCGTACCATGTTTAGATATACGTCAGACATAGGTGGTGAACAAGGGTACTTCCAGAAAATGAAGAGTTGGTGTAACATAGGGAAATGAGACTTATTGATCACGCCCTAGAACCGATCAAGGAATTAATACAACAAGAAGGTATAGCAAGAATACTGACCAGTGGCTGCATTCTTTTCTTTCCAATCGGATACTGATACGGGTTTGGTGTTGACATGGAGAATGCAGTAAACCAGAGAATAAATCCAGACAGAAGATCAAGAAGAGAGTCCAATGTGGAGGCAATTATAGCTAATGACCCACTTCTGACAGAAGCATAAACTTTAGCAGCAAAAAGAACCATGTTTGCGATATTGGAAATTCTAATGGCTAATGTCTCGCTTCTAGCCAAATTTTCCCTCTCTTCCTGCCAACCACAACAACAAAGTTCAGTCTACTACTTTAAAAACATTATCTATAGAGAATTATTCAAACCTTTGTCATTTCAGGAATAAAACCACGCTCAGCTAAGGCATCCATTTCGTTGAAACCCTCAAGCATTTCTACCTGTTGCTGATAGTATTCAGCCACGTTGTCTTCTGGACCTGAAACCATCAAAGAGAACCATTTAGATGCATTATTATAACTCCATTTTGTTCATTGGCAAATGGTGTGTCGATAGAAGAACAATTCAGCATCTGTTGCACATTCACCAAAGAGCATTGTTTAAAAGGCGCTCAGACTACAAACTAAGCTATGCATAAAATCTTCGGTTCCGACTAAAAGATTTGTCCACTAGCTTGGTTTTCCACTCACAGCAAAACTATTATATACAAAAAGGTAAAGAAAGTATTAGTTATGCATGGTATAAGAAAAGGCAAGATGAACAAAGAACATAAAAATTTCAGAAAAGAAAAAGAAACATGGAATAAACTCCATATACATGTTTAATTCGAAAGAGCTGAAGTCACTTATTCCTTCCAAAGTGGAGCTAAAGAAAACAAAGTCCTAGACACTTCAATCTTCATAACTTCAATATATACACTTTAAAGTAAAATCGACAAACAATTCATCTGTAAGTACACAGACACGCATTAGCTTTTTTAGGAACTCAACTAACAAATTTCGGTTTCACTTTATCAAGAAAGCTAGCAATCTTTACACTTGGAAAACTTCAAACTCGAACTCTCAAGTCTCAACAAAAGAAAAAACATAAAGAACAGGATTTAACATAACATCAACCTAAAAAAAGTGCAAATCCAATCATCAATCTTCACTTGATCAAGAACATAAGAAAGCTTTTCACCATAATTTCCTTGCAAAACATCAAACTAAGCAAATCCATATAAAAACAACATAAAAATACAATATTCACGTACCTCCTTGAGCCAAGAAAAACACCCAGCAAGGTTTAATAATTCTTTTGGTTCATAAAAAAAACCATGCTAGAGCTCACATTTAAAGACCAAACAGGAACAATCCTTTCAATTAAAATAACCCATTTTGATGCTCAAAAACACTGAAAAATAAAAACACATAATAGCCATTCACAAGGAATAAATGAAAAGGTAACTTCAAAGCAAAGCTCGACAAAGAATCGAATATTGCTTATTAAACCTAAATTAAATAAAATCCCAGATACCCCAAAAACATTGAAGGAAATAAACAGAACAGTTACACCCATTTAAGTAAATTCACAAACTAGCATAAAAAAAGAGTATTGCACTTGTTAAACTAAATACACAAGATCCCAGATACCCAAAGGGAAAAAACTATGAATACCAATAAGTAATATTACTGATTTATAACCAAAACAAGGGTATACTAATAATATATTAAAACTGTTTTTTAACTATAATAGGAAGAAGAAGAAGAAGAAAAGGTTGAAAATTACCCAAGACCCCAAGGCAATCATGGAGGCTACGAGGAGGCTTTTTGTCTTTGTGTTCAGAAGATAACTGGAAACCATCGAAGTTCAACCGCCATGAGCGGTCACCATTGCTCTGATGTGGCAACAGCGCCAGCTCTTCGTCGCTTTCACTCGCCACCGTCTCTACCATTGTCCCTTTTCACGGCTCCAAAGCTAAAATAAGACCCAAAGAAAGCTCGAGATTTGTTCTCTTTTTTTCGTTTGCTTATTTCAGTTTCAGTAAGGGGTATGGATTGGAAATTAGATGAAACGAGGAGGGTATTTTGGGAATGTTGAAATCTTCCGACGGCTGATTTTAGCTGACCGGATGCCGGGAAAGTTGGGTACGTGAGGTGAAGTGATAGATTTATAAAGAGGTCGGGTTTACATGTGGGAATTGGGAGATACACGTGGGCGGTCGAGATGGTGTAAAAAAATGAATCAATCATGTGGTATCATCAGCCAAGTAGAATATTAGGGCCAAAAAGATCTGAGCCACGAAATTCTGCTGGCAACAAGTGATGAAAAAAGTTGACGGTCCCACGGGATTTTATCTACTGAAATGATAGCATACGGTCCAGGACACTAGGATTCGTATAGTTAACTAAATTGAATAATTTATATATAATGTAATATTTTAAATTCTTATCATTAATCTAAATATAAAATATTTGTTTTTATTAAAAAAATAAAAATTATAAAACGGAATGCTACTATTTGATATCGATTTTTGAATTTTATATAATTTTTTTTACAAAATTAAAAATATAAAAAAAGTTTAATGAAAGGGTAAATTTTTTTAACCCCTGAACTTCATATAAAATTTTAATTATAGATTTTTTTTGTAAATCTAAAATAATTTAAGGATAAATTTATAATTTAACCTTCGTAGAATTTTTATTATTCAATGACAGAAGAATGATATTTTTGAAGAAAAAAATTAAGAGCATTTTAGTCCAAAACGCCGGTAATGTTACAATACCCAAGGGAAGGGAGGTAATGACATTCCCGGTAATATACCCAAAAAATCTACTATTGGTAATAAAACATTACCGGGAATGAGATTCCCGACCAACTAAATATGAGAATGTGAGATTTCCATCCTATGAGAATCCCACAATCCTTAAACCAAACACCCCCTAAAGTAATAGAACTATAATGGTGCCAATAGGCATCAATACTTCAAGGTGATTTGATTACCATTTTAGAGAAACTTTTTTATTTCAATACAAGTAATATATTAATTACACGTTTCTTTTATAGATGGTATTCGTTAAATTCTAATTAAATGACAATAAATATCTCTTGATAATTTAACTACAGGTTTTTAAGGACATGTACTTAGATTACCAATTTAGAAAAACTTTTTGCATTCGATACAAATAATATATTAGTTACACATTTCCTTTTATAATATTTTTTAGGGTAAACTCTAAGATTGATCAAATTTATTTTTGATAAAGGATGCTGCTGCTGATGATAATGGAAATTCGATGATAGTTGTCCTACGAATCCTCCTAGTCGCAATTGACTAAGCAAACTCGATAATTGACTCTAACCAATTCTTCTAATCGTAAGGAGAAAGCAAATCGGAGTGTGAAGATCTTTCTCACAAAGAACTTAATGAAAAGAATGTTTTGAAGGCACAAGACAATCAACACTTATAAAAAACGAACTCTCGTTGTATTATTAATCAAAGAAATCTCCTTTTCAAATTTGAATTAAACCTCCTTTATAAAGGTGAGGAGTCCTTGTTGTAACATGTCTAATGAATAAAGATAATGTTTTGATTATATCCTAATTCATAATAAACTAATAATAATGTTTTATTTCAATCTTAATTTCTAATAAAACAATAAATCTAATCCTAAAAGATAATGCATCATCCTATATTAAATTATATTATAAATATTCAATAAAAATATTGAAAATTCGTAATATTTATGAAATCTCGTATTAATCCCGTATAAGAATTTCTGCATGAGTTGTCTTCAATAAAATGGATGTATCTTGAGTTACTGATATCCTATTGATGCGATTCAAAAACCGTTGGAAAGCTAAAAGACAGCTGGTCATATCTCTAGAATAAATGTTGACCGAATAAGATCCCATTAAAAAAGAAGTCGCAAGTCGACTGTTCTATTATTGTTCTTTTCCGAGGCTTGTTCGTGTAGATTAATTCGAAGTGCTAGTCTATCTTCCTTTAATGTGAGCCTTGTGATACATGTATCAATTTTAGTTTTTCACTTTTGGTCATCCGTTTAAAAACAATTACATTTTAATCACTTATGTTATCGATTTGTTATTTTTTGTCATTGTGTTATTAAATGTTCGTAATCGATGTGGCATAGTTGGCCGTTAGTCAATTATTTGTTTTCATCCAAAATAGATATTTCCTACTAGGCTTAAATATACAAAAGGTGCCCAATTCATGCCCGTTTTTCTAGTTTAGTGTCTAATGTTTATTTTATTCCGGTTCGGTGCCTAACGTTTCATTCCGTTACTCAAGTAGGTCACAAACTCGTAGTTTTGAAATTCATTTTTTAAAAAATATTAAAAATATTATTATATTTATAAAAAAACCCTTATTTCTTTTAAATTACAAAAAAAAATCAAAATCCCTAAAATCCCCAAATTCTAACAATAGCCCACTGCCGCAGTCTTTTTTGGTCACTAGCACTGCCGCCGACATAGTCCTTGTCATCATCCTAGTCATAAGTCGTTGTAGTTGTCGTCGATTGGTCGTTGAAATTGCTTGAGATTGTGATTTTCATCCTAGGGTTAGCGGGATATAAAACGTCTATTCGCCGTCGATTGATCCTTGATCAATCATTATTTCATAGGGGTTTTGGTTGGCGAGGGGAGGTGAGGTCAGCTGAAGCTTCGTCGACGGCAAAGGGCGGCGGTCGGTGTGGGTTTAGGGGTTGAAATGAAGTCTTTCAAAGTTTTGGGTTATTTCAAAATTTAAGTGTTTTCTTTTTTTTAAAAATACATATTTTTATTTTTTTAATTTTATATAATTTCTTTTTAAAATTATCATATTGTGGCACGTGTCATGTAACAGAGGAAATTAACGGTCCGTCACGGCTTGACCCATTTTGAGTAACGGAATAAAATGTTAGGCACCAAACTGGAACGAAATAAATGTTAGACACTAAACTGGAAACACAAATATATATTGGACACCTTTTGTATATTTAAGCCTTTTTACTATAATTAAAACATTAAATATTTAAATGCTTAAAAAAGAATAGAGTGCAAAGTGATTATTCAGATAAATATTAAGGATAAATTTTTACATTATGCCTAAAGAAATAGTTAGATACTATCAATTTACTCAAAACTTAACATATATGATCTACGCTAATATAATACATAATTTAATGGTTGTACTGTTAAAATATCAATTATATAAATTTTTTTGAAAATTTTGCATCATAAACTTGACTTGTCATCAAGCTCCTAATAATATTACTTAAAATGTCAAAATTTTCTATTAGCTTATGTACTATGCATAAATTATAAATTTAATTATTTTATTCTAATTTTTAGTACTAATTCTTCTGAAATTTCATTTTTGATCTAATTTTTTTTTATTAAATTTAATAAATCGAATTCAATTTTTGCTCTATGCAAAGGTGAAGTCAAAAATAATTTATTCACGTTTTGTGATTAAATTGTTAATTGTTAAGAGGGTCAAAGAGTAGTTTTATCATTTTATTAAATAAAAAACTTTACAATTTTTGCGAGTAAAATTAAATCTTTCCAAACTAAGGGAAGCCAAAGAAAAATTTACCATTTTACTTGCTAAACTCTTAAAATTTTAAGGATTAAAAGAATAATTTTACAAAATCAAGGGATCATTAGTTTAAGCTACAAAAAATAAATTTTATCATTTTAAAATATAAGAATTAATTCTATTAATCAAGTATAATAAGACTAATGACAAAATCTTTGACCTTAATTAAAATATGACATTACTTTTAAAAATACTAACATTAAAATATTAGTAATTCCAACATGGCCATATCAAGTCTATAGTTGGACTTGAAATATTATGCTAAAAAGATAATTTAATATAAAAATATAGCAATTTGGGAACTTTTTATATTAAGGTGGATATTGGCATCAAATTCTTTTAATTGTTGAGTCCATCATTTGACAAGATTCAATATTGTTTGACCTTAATTTTTAAAAAAAAAATTGTTTTATGTTTAGTGAATATTGTTTAAAAATAATTGAGTGAAAAATAAATAACTGAGTTTATTTCATTGTCTTTTTTACTGAGTATATTTTCATTTATTATTGTAAAATAATAAAAGAAATTATATTATATAAGTGAATCATAACTTTATTTCATTATTTGTTCACCAATAATTTCATAAAGAAATTATTTAATAAAAGTTATGATAATAGCTTGTTGATATATATCAATCAGCAAAATGTTGAAATCACTAACTATTTGTTAATTTTGAATAAATTTACAATAAAACTTAATTATTAAAATTTTAACTCAAAAAATTTAACCGTTGAATTTATAATATAAAAATTATTTTATGTGCCGTTAAAAAAATTCATGTATTTTTCTTAACGTACAAAGAAAGAATTGAGCTCATGTATAATAATAATTTTAATCCTTATTATTATCTCTTACAAATTTTAGATTAAATATTCTTTAATTATTATTATCTTTGAAATTACGATTTAACCTCTCCTATCTTTTAATCTTAGCTGGCTCAAGGGAATGGTCTATCGAAATAAAATTCATTCTTGGGTAAACTATATAAATAGTCACTAGAGTTTAAGTAAACTTTTGTTTTTCCCGCAGAAGTTTCAAAAATAACAAATTGATCACTTATATTATCAATAAGTGGGTCATTTGTTCAACCGTTTGATTCTCATTGATGTTTTGTTTACTCTGTCATTAAAGCAACCACCTATATCTCTTTTGACAGAAACCTCCGCTCCGTCACCTCAAGCTCATTCGCCATTTGGGTATCGGAAACCTCCACCTTCGTTTCATTTGCTAAAACGAGTCAACAAACGTCGAATGCCGAACGCAAAAGCTTCCAATCAAACGATGGATGATGAATTGGATGCTACGGATCTTGCAACGAGAGGAGAAGACTCCATTGTAACAACAACAATAGAGGATGGATTCAGGAATTTAAGGTTAGAGGTTTACTTCTTTTGTGATTTTAGTACTTTTGTGAGGGGAAATTTAAGAGATTTTTTTTAATTTTTTTTTAGAAATTTGGATTATTTAAAATATAAATTAGGGCACATGTTAAATAATGATTGGATTTCAGGTTTTTTCAACGGATCGACCTTAAAATGATAAGAAAACATTAAGCACCTATTTTAGCTAAAATAAACTTTAAACACCTAAATGAAAAAAATATATAATTCAAACACTTATTTTATATTTAAGTCTAAATAAAATATATGGGCTAGATCTCAAATTTAATTATAATGAAGGTATCAAAACCAAATTTGACCAATAAAATAAAATATTACATCATATGAAAATATCTCATATGTCACAAAATCATGGCACGTATACGAATTCCACACAAATATATAGTGTTCCGAGATCTACTCTGGACCATTAACTATAAAAACAGAAACATGTAAAGCAAATTCCATCACTTCTCCCTTGAATCTGTGTAAGAAAAACAAGAAAAGTTCAATCTTGAAAAAAGAGGAACAAAAATGTTGCATTTGTGTGAAAAACCCCATTTCAGATACAGTTGTTTGATGTTATTGGTTTGGGGTTTTCAGTTTGTGGGTTTAAATTATGGGTTTGGGGGTAAATTATGGGTTTGGGGTAAATTATGGGTTTCTTTTAAATCAGTCATTGACATACATCTGGCCTTTGCCATACGAGCTTACCTCAGGCAATGAAACTTTGACCGTGAACCCAGCTCTGTCTTTGTCTGTCATTGGACGTGGAGGGAACTTCAAGATTTTGAGGGAGGGGTTTAGGAGATACAAGAGGATTATATTTAATTTTTCTTATGGGGTTCCGGTTTCGAAGAATTCGAGACGAATAAGATCGATATTTGATATTAGCGAATTGAGGATCATTGTGAATTCAGAGAGTGACTCCTGTAATTCAATTAAGAGTTTCTCTTCTTTTCTTCTCTTTTCTTTTTTAAGATTGTTGTGGTCTAATTATGGCAGCTCAAGTTGGGTGTGGATGAGAGTTATACTTTGTTCATAGAAAAGGCTGAAGGGAAGTATATTGCTTGGGAGACTACAATTGAGGTAAAGTTTGAAACTTTTGAGTTTTTTTATGTGGTTTATTGTATGAGAAAATAATTTGAGTGATCGAAAATGTATTATAATATATGATTTTAATCAACTTTTTTTGGGTTTGCAAAAATAACCAACGAATTCGCAACTTAATTTCGAATTCGCAACACGAAAGCTAAATTCGCAATACAATTTTCGAATTCGCAACAAGAATTTACATTTCGCAACACGAATTTGCCAAATTCGCAACTCAGTTTTCAAATCCACATCTCGAATTCTGATTTCGCAACTCAATTTTACCGCGTTTACCTATATAGGTAATTATAACCAATGTAAGTTGCAGAAATTTCAAAATAATAATTTTAATATTATTTTAATAATATCATGTATATATTTTGAAATTGAATTATTAACAAAACCGATAAAAAATGATTGAAAACATCATTATTTTGACCGGTTATAATTATCTATATAGGTAAACACTGTAAAATTGAGTTGCGAAATTAGCCAATTCGAGTTGTGAAATCCGAATTCGAGTTGCGAATTTGGTAAATTCGTGTTGCGAATTTGGCAAATTCGTGTTGCGAATTCGTTGGTTATTTTTGCAAACACAAAAAAATTGGTTAAAATCATATATTTTAAGACATTTTCGGTCACTCAAGTTATTTTTTCTTATTGTATTGATGATCATGTGGAGTATGAATTGAAGCTGGTTCTTAATTTTGGATTGGTTATGTTGCATATCTGCAATTTTGTTTTATGTGTCGCTAGTGGCAAAATTTGGTGATAGAGTTTTAGGGAACTTATTTAAAAAAAATTAAAGCTTTAAATTAAGATTTTAAAATTTTTGAAGGGTTTAGTTTATATTTTTCTAAAAAAATTAGGATCTAACTACAATTTTTGAAAATTTGAGATACTTAATGAAATTTTTTAAAAATTATGAGAGGGATTTTAATTAAAAACATTAAAAAAATTTAAAATTTAAATTAAATTTTAAAAATTTGAGGGAGCAAATTGAATATTTAAAATTTTTTAAGGGTCAAAATTAAAAAAAATAAATTTTAGGAGGCTATGGCGCCCTCTAGCCTATTCTACGTTCTGCCTCTGTGTGTCGCTAATTTTCAATTATCGGTGCTTATTGCTTAAAGTCTAAGGTTTAAATTAATATTTTTAAAAATTTTGAAGGGTTTAGTTTATATTTTTTTTCTAGAAAATTAGGATTTAACTACAAGTTTTGAAAATTTGAGAGGCTTATGAATTTTTTTAAAAATTATGAGAGGGATTTTAATTAAAAACTAAAAAAAAAATTAAATTGAATTTCTAAAAATTTGGGGGTGGCAAATTGAATATTTTAAAAAAAATTTAAGGTTCAAAATTAAAAAAATTAAATTTTAGGGGGGCCATGGCCTCGTCTAGCCTAGCCTACGTTCCACCTCTGTGTCGCTAATTTTCGATTACCGGTGCTTATTGCTTAAAGTCTTGTGGAACTAGTTTATTGGCACTCCTAGCCGGGAAATATCAATGAGAGTAACGAAAACCTCAGTGAAACTTGCATGCAAATGCAACCTAACCAAACCAAAGACTCACTGCTTAATTTTTCTGTAAGTATTCCTTGCAGACCAAGTCAGTATTGACAAGTGTCTTTCTGGGTAATATGAAGACCTGAACTCATCTTCTGCAATCAGATTATGGTGTTTAAGTAATGGTAGTAGATGTGTAGGTTTCGTTTTGAAGAACAGTGTCTTTTGGGTCATAATTTTAGTTATCCTTCCATGGCTGTGCCTTCACTTGGACTGCTAAGAGTTCATGTTTTGTAAATTGTATATTTGTCCATGAAATATAACGTGGAGAAAAGTGGATGTTCTATCTGTCAATGATGGCTTGATTTATTTGTTGGACCAAGTGTGTGCTTTGCTGATCGTTATGTTATTGAAGCTAGAAAGTCGTAATTTTCACAAATCGTTCTACTACATCCTACAGGCCACCCATTAACCACCCCAAATCTGCCCAACAAGCAGTATATGTACTCTGGTAGGACTCTTAACTAAAAATAGATAAAAAGAATACGAAATACTTACCAACACCTGTATCCCATACCCAGCACACGGTGCCCAAATGACATCGAAGCATAACTCGAACTCTACACGCCCTTACCCTCCCCAATCGTCTACCATAGCCCTCATCCCGAACTAAACTCTTCACCTGCAGACCCAAAATCTTCAACAGTCATATTGTAACCTTTTTTTAATGTTACTGCAAATCACATCAAAAATAGAAAATTATAATAATATTTATGAAATAAATCACATATCTGCAACACCCGCAGTTATAATTGTGACCACAGTTTAGAGCTATTTTCACACCACCTTTAGAACCACTAGACTTCCAGGATAGACTGAGGCGCAGGGTGAGTAGTCGTTCTTGATATTTTTTTTTGTATTTAATATGTTTTGATTTCATTTTAAATTTTAGATGTTTGTGTTTCTTAATATATAATTCTGCTTCTTTTCAACGGTAGAGATTTAAAGGGTCTTCTTAATCCGCCATTAGTTAACTGTATTTTATAGATTTCACTCTAGAATTGGTTCAATAATTATGCATTGGTTCTTTCAAAGTATTGATTAACCTTTGGATAAGCTGCAAAACCAGTTCGAGTGTGTTTCTCCGCATGCAGCTTTTGCTTATTTCCAATAACCAAGATATAAATGTCGAGCGGCAGAGACCGAATATCATAATTTACCCTCGGGAATCCATACAAGAGATTGATATTCAGCTTCATCTATTTATATAGAGCTGTAATAGCTTTAAAAGTTCATGTAAAAGAAGAAGGAGAAAAAAAAAACATGGCTGCAAATTCTGCGTCTAAGGTGAGCTTGAAGCTCCTCATCGACACCAGGAGCAATAAAGTCCACTTTGCTGAAGCAGGCAAAGACTTTGTTGATTTTCTTTTTAACCTCCTCTCTTTACCTGTTGGCACAGTTGTTAAGCTTCTCGGAACAAACAGCCTGGTGGGTTCCCTTGGAAACATCTACGAGAGTATCCAAAACCTCAGAGAAAGTTACATGCAACCGAACCAAACCAAAGACTTACTGCTCAATCCCAGGGCTCCAATTTCAGCTTCTGGTGTCCCAATGTTTCTTGCTTATGACAACGTGCCTAGAAAAACATACACGTGTTCCATTTATCATCGCAATATGGCCGCTGTTCCACGCAGGGTTTGCCCTCATTTTACGGCACGGATGTCGAATGAGGTGCCCATTGTAGCTAGGAATGTCGGGAAAGGTGAATCGAGCGGCGAAGGAGGGTTTGTGAAAGGGATGGTGACTTACATGGTAATGGATGATTTGACTGTTAAACCAATGTCTATCATTTCTATCATTACTATGCTCCACAAGTTCAACGTTAAGGAAGTTGGAGCACTTCAAGAGAAGGTAGTTCACTTGGGAATGAATGAGGTATTATTCATATATATATATATGCGTTTGTGTTTGTATTATGGCATGGAGGCTTATGCTTTTGTTTTGTTTTACTTCCTGCTAGGGTTTGAAGCTGCTTAAGACTTCCTTGCAGTCCAAGTCAGTATTGACAAGTGTTTTTCTGGGGAATATGAGGGCCTAAAGTCATCTTCTGAAATCTGCTGATGGAATTGTCTCAGATGTTTTGATTTTGTTTTGGTTACCCCCATTGATGGATGTGCTTCTTCGGACTGGCCAGTGGCCAGTGTTGTTTTCATTTTGCAAACTGTCTTTTTATCCATGAGATATAACGTTGAGAAAACTGATATTCTGTCTGTCAATGATGTTTTGTTTGATTTGGTCGATAAGTTTGTGATTTGCTGGCTGGTGTTTATGTTATTGTGTTTGAGCCTTTGGTGTCGAAATGTATTTTAAGTTTTTTTTATAGCTTATTTAGAAATAAAAGAAAAATTGTAAATATTATAAATTAAGGTCATTTGGGTAAAATTGAAATATAATCAATTGATTTTGAACCAAAAAAAAAAATCATTAGGTTGTTACTTGAAAAATGTCAATTAAACATGTACTATATGAAAATAAACATATATAGTTTAAATTTCTATTAATTTTTTAACAGTTTGATTTGATTATAATATAATATATGTTTATAATTTTCTTAATATATTATTAACATATAAACACCAGCAAATATTATTGTTCGAACTTAAGACCTCTAGAGATCAACATTCAATTTTATCACTGAAACCACTTGATAAGTTCACTTTACATTAATTCTTAAAATTGATTCTTAACATCTTTCATAAAAAAAGAAACAATAATTGTTTATTACAAATTAGGGGTTGGAAATTAGGAATGTGCACGAGTTGGGTTTATGGACCTACTTGACTTTAATTTTGTATTCATCTATCTTTCACCTCATCTAATATGAGTTTAGGAAGATTTCACTGAATCTAAATTCGGTTTAATTTTTGAGATAAAAACTTCATATATATAATCATCCTTAAATATATAAGGATTAATTCTAGGGTCGAGCTAGATTAGAGATTTTTTTCCTTTAAACTCGAACCTCACTTGACTTGAATCTAAATTACTTTTAAAAATATTGAACTTATAAAATTAAATCGGAATCCATATCTTATGATCGTTCATAGAACTTGGGATCCTAATTGAAAAGTTAGATGAAAATATGTGATGGATGAGTGTGTGGCGGCCTTGGTTATGATCATCCCTCACCATCAAACTCATGAACCCTTCATTTCCATTTAATGTTTACTAAATAAAGTCTCATTCAAGAATCCATCGTCCTTCGATCTGTCCATGGTCACGAAGCTTTACCCTCACCAGCAAGTAATCTATATTTTCTTTTTCGTTTTCAGTTGGTTTGGTTTTATTAATTTAATACAATAATTGAAGTAGTAAATTTATTATTATTAGTTAATCAAACTGAAGTTTATTAATTTAGTAGTATTTTTTTAATCAAATTTATTAGTATGTGACAATTTAACAATATTATTTTGTTTTTTTATTAAAATATTACGGTCAGTTGTTTAATTCATCTTTCATAAAAAAGTACAAAAAATGAACATAAAGTAAAGCTAAGATCAACATCTTAGTAATGAAAAATTAGTTAACTTGTCAATTTTTTAATGATACATCAGAAAAAGACAATTATTTATGCAAGCTTAAAGGCGTCGTTGCTATTTCATTTCATTTGGGTTAATTTAGCCAAAGAAAAATACGAAAACTTAACAAAGAGTTAAGTCCGCGAGCCTATAACTTAAATAACAATCAGACAAAGAAAAATCTTAAAATTGGGAAGAAGGAAAACGAGTGTCACATGATTTAGTTGAGTAGTCACAATAAATTTATTAGGATAGGCTTTTTATAACGTGTGATTGTCTTTTAGCCAAGTGTGTGGGCACTCTATATCTTCTAAAATCATTTATAAATGTATAAACTTTTATATATAAATGTGTTTAGACATGCTAAGTGTGTGATTCACTTTTAAAATTATAAGCATTATCGTTATTATATATATATATATTTAAATAAATTAATCATTGTAGTTATTTTATGATAGTTTAAATGTATTGTAAATGAATGAAGTTATCATTGATCATTTTAGGATAGTTATGATCGAATATCTATAAATTTAGTTTGCGTCTATACCATACTCATTGATCATTTATAATGATACTAATAATTAATACAAATAATAATAATATAGACATGGTGAGGGATTAATTTGTAAAAAATTTAAATTAAATAACAAATAAAGTATGCAATTAAACTAAATTAAACTACATACAAGAAAATGGAATTGTTGTTGTTCCTTGAGGTTACGGGTTCGAGCATCGACAATGTCAGAGGCACGATCGTTAAATGTCACATGGTTGAGAGTTACTTTGAGCAGATACTACTTTGCACTTACCCTAGATTAATAAAAAAAATGAAAATAGAATGCCTAAAAGATTTTTCTTTTTAAAGGGTTTAAAATAATTATAAGATAATATTTATTTATAATCTTTTCTTAACTATTGATATAACACATTACTAACGTAACTACTTGATTTTAGAATAATATTTTATTAAATAACTAAGAGGATACAATTTAAAAGATATAAATCATATGTTATTGAAAAGATTTTATAAATAAGAGGTCATTAACGTTAACAAAGTAATTATAGATAAGAAAGGTCCACATTTACTCAAATACTAATTAGACATGAAATATGTCCCTTTCTTTGCATGGGGCTAGCTAATTATGATAGCAATAACTATTAGTTGAATTAAAAATTTGGACATAAAGTCAAATTGATAAGAATTTCGATAATTAGTCCAATCAATTAGATGAATCAAGTTTAATTGAAACAAATTTATATATAAAATTTGACAGTTAAATGACTCGAATTTAGAACAAAAGCGAGGTTAATTTGGATTAAATAGTATTTTGATATCTGATGTTTTATTTAAAATTCTTATTTGTATTTTTGAATAACCCAATTTGGGGACTATAAAAAGACATGCATGCAATCCGCATAGAGTATGCCAATTAGTATATTTCTCTCAATATCTGTAAGCAATGGAGTTCTTAATGAAAATATGTCTCATACTCATCTGTAGTCTCATCTCTTACATTGTTAACATGTTTTTCCAGAAGAGAAATCAACATTGTTACATGTTGGATTATGAGTGTTTCAAGGCTCCCGATGATCGGATGCTCGACACCGAAGCCTGTGTCAAAGTCGTGATGAGGAACAAGAATCTCGGTCTCGAACAATACAGGTTTCTGTTGAAGACGATTGTCAGCTCCGGTCTTGGTGAAGAGACTTACGGCCCGGGGAATGTTCTCGATGGTCGAGAAGAGTTCCCTTCCGAAACCGACGCTCATTCGAGATGGATGAGATCATGTTCGACACTCTCGATAGTCTCTTTGCGAAAACAGGAGTTTGCCTTCGGAAATCGACATACTCGTTGTCGATGTCTCGTTGTTTTCGCCGTCACCTTCGTTGACGTCTCGAATTATAAACAGGTACAAGATGCGGGATAATATCAAGTCCTTCAACTTATCTGGAATGGGATGTAGCGCGAGCATGATAGCCGTGGACCTAGTGCAACGCTTGTTCACGACGTATGCGAACCAGTTCGCGATCGTTGTGAGCACGGAATCGATCAGTACACACTGGTATTGTGGCAAGGAGAAGTCGATGATGTTATCGAACTGCCTGTTCCGTTCTGGAGGGGCTTCGATTCTTTTAACAAACAAAACGGACTTAAAGGATCGATGCTTGTTCAAGTTAAAATGCGCGGTGAGAACGAACATCGGACACGACGACGAGGCCTACGGATGTTGCATACAGGTCGAAGATCAACAAGGCTACCAGGGATTCTCCTCACTAAAAGCCTAACAAAAGCTGCAGCCAAAGCCTTCATAGGGAACCTCAAAATCCTACTCCCCAAAATACTACCACTCTACGAACTGCTTCGATACGCGATATCGACTATCGGAACAAAAACGACGACGGAACACCGAAACCCAAGTGCACCCAAACCAGCTTTAACCTTCAACTTCGATCTGAAATCCGGGATCGATCACTTCTGCCTCCATCCAGGTGGAAGAGCAGTGATCGATGGACTTGGTAAGAGTTTAGGGCTAAGCGAATACGATCTAGAGCCGACTCGAATGGCACTATACCGATTCGGGAACACATCGGCAGGTGGTTTGTGGTATGTTTTGAGTTACATGGAAGCTAAGAAGAGGTTGAAGAAGGGGGACAAGGTGTTCATGGTGAGCCTTGGAGCTGGTTTCATGTGTAATAATTGTGTGTGGGAAGTGATGAGAGATGATTTGGAGGACACTAGGGTTTGGGAGATTGTATTGATGATTACCCTAAGAAGAACCTGGTTAATCCTTTCACTGAGAAGTATAGCTGGATCAATGATGAGTGCTTGAACTTTGTTAGGCTTGACTAGGGAAACTACATAAATCCACGTAAGCGCGAATTTGTCCCGACTAGTATAATCACAAAACATATAAGTAGAAGATCCTACTGTTTCTTAATTCGTACACTCAAAAAAGAAATCGAAGCTTAATCGATATTTGTATTTATGGATTCCATACTACTATTCATATTTTAAAAATGTCTACACATAATTTATCAATTCCATGCGGTTATGTGCATTCATAATAAATAATAATAATAATAATAAACAACTATGAATTTAATCAACCATTATTATAGGTTGAATAGTAATTTTTTTCTGTAGCATATAAAGATAAAATGTCACTATAAATTATTAGATGATTTAGTAAGATAAATTGTTATTCCTTTAAATAAGATGTAAAATTTAAATTTAATGTTGTAAATTGAATAAATTTAGTTGAAATGATTGTTATTGTAATGAATATGTAAAATATTCGATACGGTAACACCAATTTAATCAGTTGCTTAATAATAGTATAGATAGATGATTAAATTTAAATTCGATTGTACTTAACTTCTTCTTTAATTGAATTTGCTGTTAGTTAAGCTTAAAAGATACAATTAAACCTCAATACTCGAAAAGAAGATTATAATATTTGAATTCGACTCGCTCTCGAATTCAAATAATTTTAAAGGTAGATGTGTCAACTAGGGTACAATTAGCCCAACCCAT